GCCTGCGCAGATCCATCTTTGTCGGGACCAGAGCTTGCCGGTGAAGTCCCCTGCTTGTCGCTGGATGCATCTGCCGTGGTTGCTGGCTCATCATCCGCCTCCCTCTCCGCTACTAATGCAGCACTAACCACTTGATTGGTTGCCGCTATATATAGCAGCAACTTCTCTTGTGGCTTAGGTGCGACAAGTGTTGGAGTGGAGGATAGGTATCTCTTTAAGTCCTGCAGTGCAGCCTCCGCTTCCGGAGTCCATTTCATTGGACCTGCCTTTTTAATATTTTGAAAAATGGCAGGGCGCGCTCAGCAGACCTAGAGATAAACCTACTGAGAGCAGCTACGCAACCGGCAAGTCTTCGTACATCCTTGACACGCTTTGGTGCTTCAATCTGCTCAATGGCCTTGATCTTGTCGGGATTGGCTTCAATTCCCCGCTTAGACATGAAGAACCCGAGAAGCTTGCCGGAGGGGAGTCCAAACACACACTTCTCGGGGTTAAGCTTGAGGTTGATCTTGCGCAGATTTGCAAAGGTTTCGTCTAAATCTTGAATCAGAGTCGCCTTGTCCTTGCTCTTGACCACTATGTCATCCATGTAGGCTTCCACATTTCTGTGTATTTGCGGCTCAAAAGCGTCATGGACTACCCTTGCAAATGTTGAACCAGCATTCTTTAAACCGAAAGGCATCCGTACGAAAAAGTATGTGCCACATGGGGTGATGAATGCGGTCTTCTCCTCATCCTCTTCTGCCATGAAGATCCGATGGCATCCTGAGTATGCATCAAGAAATGAAAGCAAGTCACATCCGGTCGTGGAGTCAACAATCTGGTCGATGCGCGGCAAGGGAAATGGGTCTTTGGGACAAGCTTTATTGACATCGGTAAAGTCGATACAAAGCCTCCATTTCCCGTTTGCCTTGCGCACGACTACAGGGTTGGCCAACCACGTAGGATGGAGCACTCCTCTGACAAGGCCTGCTGCTTCCAATTTCTTGATTTCTTCTACGATGAATTCTTGGTGTTCCACTGCCTATTTCCTGACTTTCTGCTTGACGGGCCGCGCATGAGGACAGACGGCAAGATGGTGCTCGATTACTTTCCTGGGAACACCGGGGATGTTAGACGGTTGCCACGCAAATACGTCGACATTCGCCCGCAGGAAAGTAACGAGCGCGCTTTCCTATTTAGGGTCGAGAGTGGCACTGATGGTGAAGGTACCACCAATGCCATCCTCCTTGGCGGACACCTTCTTGGTCTCTGGTGGAGCTGCCATTGTCTTCTTACACTTGCCAGTGGAGCTCGATGGTGCGTCCTCGACGGTAGCGCAGCACTTCAAAGAGGTGCGCTTGCCAGAGCAGGCATCAGAACTCTTGCCGGACTTGGTCTTCTTCTTCGCCCCGGGAGCTTCAACGGCAAGTGACTTGCGATCTGTTGCGGCTGCTGCTTCCCGGTAGATCTTGTCGGCATAGATAAGAGCATCCTTATTGTCGCCAGGGACAGAGATGACACTTACCGGGCCTGGCATCTTCAGCATGTTGTATGCATAGTGAGAGGCTGCCATGAATTTGGCGAGTGCTGGACGGCCGAGTATCCCATTGTAAGGCAATGGAAAGTCAGCAACGTCAAAAGTGACCCTCTCAGTACTGAAGTTCAACTCACTGCCAAATGTCACCGGCAACGTGATCTTTCCCTTCGGCTTGCTCCTTCCCGGATTGATTCCTTGGAATGTGTCGGTCTCTTCGAGCTCGCCATCAGGGATCTGGAGTTTCTGGAGTGCCGCGGAGGAGATCAGGTTCAAGCCGGCCCCGCTGTCAACTAGCATCTTAGTGACCTTGAGGTTGCGGATAGTTGGTGAAACCAACATCGGCAAGCATCCGACCGCAGTTATGCGATCAGGGTGGTCCTCAATATCAAAGATGATAGGCGTGCTGGACCATTTCAGAGGCTTGCGGGACTCGACGGGTGGTTCTGCCGCATTGACTTCCCACACCCACTGCTTGAGCTGGCGGTGTGAATTATGCAGAGAAGCACCGCCGTCAGTGCACAGGACCTCTGTGGATTTCTAGAACTCCTTCTCATCGGTCTCGTCATCATCCATATCTTCATTGTTGTCGTCATCTTCATCCTTGTCGTGGCCGCGGGGAGGTCTGTCTCCTTGCCGCTGCTTGGCCTTCCCGCGGCGTCCTCCTCGGCCGGGGTGTTTCTTGCCGGCTCCTCCAGCACCTTCCTGGGCTTTCTCCTTGTCGCGTCGCTCGTATTCAGCCTTTTGTTGCTCGACCTTCTTGCAGCTCTGGAGGTAATGGCCCTTGGTGCGGTGGATCTTGCAGTACTGCTTGTTGGTGCCGTCCTGCTTGTCGGCGACCGCCACAGCCTGGTAGTTGGTGCCTGCGGCAATCTCCTCGCTGGAGCTACTGTCACAGCCCTAGCTAAGCCCTTGCCTGACTCTGCATAAGCATCCATGCATCATGTCTAAATTCAAATGAAATTTTGAATTGGGGATGTTCAAACCCTAGCAGGTAATAATTTTAACTAGGTTCAATTCAAATATTTTCATTGGGGACGCGTCTAGGGAGCAGCCGTGTGCTCCCTAGCGTTTCCTGGCCGCCTGCCCTAATAGGCCCCGAAAAGGTAAGTTTCTGTCCCCCCTCGATCAGAAAGGGGACGTTCCCCCCGCCATCACAACCTGCTCCACCACCCCGACTCACGTGATTCTTTTCCATCCTACTTTTCTCCATCCCCACCTCTCCTCCCCTCCTATTCCCTTCCAGCCGTCCCAAAAGAGAGACATCTTCTTCTCCCCCAAGAAAGAGGCAAGGTTCATCCTGCTCAGATCTCAAAAGCTTCAAGCCTGCAATACGGACGGCGTCCATGAAACTGTTGATCTAAACACATCTAGAAGCAGCAGAAGCAGGCAAGTTCAGAGGTAAAAAGCTGTAGATCTGCTCACCTTCCCCAAGCCCCAGCCCTCTCCAGCATCTTCTGTAGAAAAAAATGGAGCTGCTTCTTGATTTTCTCCATCTGTGTTTCTTCCTGTTTTCATATGAACGATTTTTAACCCTGTGTTGATTATTGAATCATCTGCCTGCTTCTGCTGATTGTAAGCACGTGTCAAGTAGAAAAAAAAGGATGAACATCATGGCTGATGGTTGATGGGTTGTATAAAGTAACTTGCATCGTAACTTGTATGAAGTTAGGCAAAAAAATATTGTCAGCAGCAACTTGCATTGTAAACCTAGGCAAAAAAATCATTGCTTGCATTATCAGCTTGTAAAAAAATGAACACTAGGCAAGTAATACTGTGAAAAACATGCAACTCATGGCTGATGGAAAAGCAACTTGGAATAAAAGAGGTAGGCAAGAAAGCTATTGTGAAGAAGCAAGTGATGTATAAAAGCTAAAATCTACTACAAATGGTTTATCGTTGGTACTTTTATTCACCACTGACAAAAAAAGTGAGGTTTAATTTACCTTTCCAATAAGGTGTAGGTTGCATGATCCTACAACAGTTGTTGTTGTTGTGATCTTGCAAATGGCGGGGAACAATGCGGGTGGATGCAACATATATTGCTATTTTGATCCTGCAAAAAAGAAATGGCAAAAGAAATTTCCTATAGAACTACTATAAAATGGATGTATCAGTTGCAGCACGAAGAAACAATTCATGACCTCGACAAAACAGATTGCTTGGAAAAGCGACTACACAAAGACAGTGATAACCAAAGTTGCTCCCAGTACAAACTTTAAGAGAAAAACAAAGTACTGAACATAAAAAAGGACAAACATATGTTGCCCATGACTGCTGCTATTCTTAAGTTTTTTCTGACACAAAACATGCTGCTGCTCTCTTTGTTTCTTGGTGTGAAATCCATGCTGAAAACACTCCAAAAAATGTCTATTCTCTAGCATCTAGCTTGCTTCCCCCTTGAGATCAATGAAAACCATGCATATGTATGAGTTGCTTGCATTTTAAAATGATAAAAGGTTAGTAAAAATTATGATACAATCAAAAAACAGATGCTCAAAAGAAGATGCTGTCTTATCATTCAGTTTGTGATTTTCAGCAACAACAAAAAATGTTCTATGTTGAAGTCATTCTTACAACAACAAAAAATGCTATCTTATCATTCAGTTGTGATTGCCTGGGTTTAGTTTCTTACTTGCTTGACATCAAACTAACTAGCTTTGGTTTTTCTGGTTTAAATGTTGCACAGGCTGTAAAAAAGATGATTGACCTAAATGAGGAACCAAATGATATGGATATTGGTGATCCAGTGAACTCTACACAACAGGCTGCTCAAAATCCTGAGTTAACCGGTGATTCTCCTACTCCTCATATAGTGCAAAATGCCACAGCTCTTGTGGCAAAAACTGTGGAGACAGATGAGCAAGCACCTGCAGCGCAAGAATCTGAGACTGATGGCCATACCCTTGATGGCACGGATGCCGCGGGTGATACAAGTGTGACTGTTGGTAATGGTTTGACAGGCTTTGGTGCTGAAAATGATGAAGAGGCTTGGTCACAACTGAAGGAGCCTCATGTGGGCATGAGGTTTGACACTTTGGAAGGCGCAAAAGAGCACTACAATGCATATGCCTTGCAGATTCGTTTTTCAATCAAAATGAATACTTCAAGGAAGGCTGTGAAAACTGGAGTGTTGATAAAACAACAGTTTGTTTGCAACAAGTTTCGAAAGCCTGAAGCTGATGACGGAGGGGCAGAAAAAATTCTTGTGCTGGATGATATCGTTGAGCAAACAAAAGATGATGATGAAGACGAGGATATTGTCTTTCTTGATGATGATAATAAAACCAAAAAGAGGAGCAAGAAGCGGAAGAGAGATAAAATAGTGCAAACTGGTTGCAAAGCTAAGATGGTTGTCAAACTGATAGATGGCAGATGGGAAGTGATATATTTTGTTGGCGAGCACAACCATCCACTAGTTGACAAACCAAGTTTGACTAAGTACTTGAGATCGCACCAAGGTATCCCACCAGAAGAAAAGGCATTCCTTACCCACCTACATAACTGCAACTTGACAACAGGTCTATAACCATATTACCCTTCTCTCCGACAATTTTAACTGCCCAGACTTGCCCAAGTATTGTATCCATCTTGCTTGCAGCATGTGTGTGATTTGCGAGACTAAGCACACAAACATGCTTGTTTTTTTATGAAAAAAGGTCTGCTACCCATTAAAACTTGCCTTGTTTTTAAGTATTATTTGCCTGCTCTTGATCACAAAACAAACGCGATGGGTCGTGCCTCTGTTGTCTTGTCTTTGTTGTGAAATGTGGTAGATGGACTTGCCTATAAATTGTCTGTTAGTTGCTCAATGTATATTTACTAGCTGCCTACCTGCCTTTTGTGCAAATGCATGTTAGTACAAACCACAGCCCAAAAATAAGTTTGTCTGACTAGTTTTATGAAGCTTGTTCTTCTATTTCTTCTACCTGCCTACCTGCATGTTTGTTGTGTTAGTTGCTTGTACATTAGGATGAAAATGCCTAAAAATATCCACCTGAGTTGACTGTTCTTAGTTGTGTTAGTTGGTGAAAGAAATCAAAATTGTTTTTTTGTACTGTTCTTAGGTAACAAGGGTTTGACCACCATTTTGACTTCATTTTGACTCCATTGAATGCAGGGCGCATGATGCACATCATGTCAGACTTCTATGGGACAGAGATAATTGTGCCTTATGGAACTAAGCACATTACAAACCTGAAGACGGTCTTGAACAAGGATGCTACAAGAGAAGGCGACATGATAGAGACAGTAGCATATTTCAAAGATCAGCAAAGAGAAGATCCAGACTTTTTTTACAAGATAAAGTATGATGAAGAAGACAGAGTGGAGAATATTTTCTGGGTCGATGGTGCAGCAAGGAAGGCATACGTGGAAGCTTATCATGATTGCATCTCCTTTGACACAACATACATGACTAACATGTACAACATGCCCTTTGCGCCGTTTATTGGAATTAATAGACATGGGCAATCATTTATGTTGGGCTGTGGTTTCGTTAGGCAAGAGTTGGCTTCTAGTTTTGATTGGCTATTCGAAACCTTCCTTGAAGCAATGCATGGAGTAGCGCCAACCAACATCATAACCGACCAGGACATTGCAATGGCGCAGTCAATTAAGAAAATCTTCCCTACAAGTGTGCACCGCTGTTCTCGCTGGCATATTATGAAGAAAGCACAAGAGAAGCTTGGGCCATTGTTGGGACGAAACCCTGGCTTGTCTAAAGATTTCAACAATTGTGTTGACTTTAGCTTTACACCACAGGAGTTTGAGGCAGGTTGGTGTGAGCTGATGATGAAGTATGAGGCTATGACTGACTCCCACTTTGAGAATCTATACAAGTACCGAGAAACATGGGTGCCCTGTTACTTCAAGCATCAATTCTTCCCTTTCTTGCAGTCAACACAACACAGTGAGGGGTTCAACGCTGTCCTTAAGCGTTATGTGAACCCACACAAGTCCATCTTGAACTTCGTGAAGCAATATCAGAAAATCCAAACACACATACTAGTTTGAGAGGGTGCGAAGGATTACAGGATAGGACATTTGCAAAGTGAAATGTGGTCATCTTACCCAATTGAAAAGCAAGCCTACAATTCATACACTAGAGACTTGTGCGAGAAATTCCGCGATGAATTTCAGTTGACTACAAGGTACAACGTGCGACCCCATGGTGAACACTTTTATGAGCTTTACCCCAATCAAGAATGGGTTGCTAAGTATGGTTCTAGGAGCTATTTTGTGACTGTTGCAACTAGTGCTGGAGACTACAGATGTGAGTGTTGCAAGTTTCATAGGGATGGGATGCTTTGCTGACATATATTGAAGGTTTTCAACCATCTTGGGGTTGATGAAATCCCAATGTAGTACATCAAAAGAAGATGGACACCTCTAGCAATCACGGATGCACCGCCTGCTGTTGAGGATAAGCCTGATGAGTTGCCGGAACAATCGAAGAAAGAACTCCGTCATGCAAACTTGATGATGGACTTTGGTGGACTTGCTAAGGTTGCTAGTGCATCGGATGCTGCGACAAATATTGTAAAGAACCATATGCGTGGAGCGCGTCATGAAATAAAGAATCTCAGCCTATCAAGGAAAAAGAAAACAGCAGCCCCTCCTAGTGGACCGACTGGTGGGACACCACCATCAGCTGGTGGTCCTGTGCCACCAATGACAAATGCTTCAGCGAGTAGTGGCAACGCACCACCACAAGCTGCGCAAGCCCCTGCTAGTGCTAGGCAGCGTCAAACTATTTCTGCCCAATAGCCAAAAAATGCAACATCACTACCTACAAACAGTATGGGGCAGGGTGTGCATCCACACACAGCAGTTGGGGGTGCGCCGGTGCACAAGGGGTCTGCGGTGCCAAGCTCGTTCGCTGCAGGGCAACAGTTAGGATTTGTACCTCAGAGTATGGGATCTGCGCCACAAACCAGGGGGCCTGCACCACAACTGTTGGCGACTCTGACCCTAAACAGTGGGCCTGGCCAAAAACTGAGGGGGGCTCCGCGACAACTGTTCAGACCTGGAACACTAACCATAGAGCCTGAACCAACAACGATGAGGGCTCCCCAAACAACCTACTGGCCTGCACTACCACTTAGGGGGGATGCACCACCATCCATGGTTACTACACGAGCAGACATGAGTCGTCTTACAAATGCTGGCCTTGCAGCATTCCCTACAGATTCTGCAACAATTGCTTGTGCTTCTGGGCTGTATATAACTTCTACTACTGTGCAACAAGCACATGTTGCCCCAGTCTCATCTTCTTTGGCGCAACCTCCTGGTGGACATGCACGCCAACCACTCAACATGGAATCCCTACGTGCAGCTGTTGTAGTAGCGCAAGGTGGTTCTACTACACCTGACACCCGAGTTCCTAGAGACCCCCCAAAATCGACTACAAAAGGGAGAACGAAGTCGAAAAGGTTGCAATCAGCACTCGAGCTGCATCCGAAGAGGAAGAACAAGTGCAGTTACTGTGGGTCTTACAACCACAACAGTGCACTGTGCCCCACAAGATTGGCGTGATGAACACCACAGGAATGCGGGAACAGAGATGGAGTTTTGATTATGAAAGACAAAAAAAATGAGCAATTACTAGATGCCCGATGATATGCTTACCCTCATTTGAATTACTGTCTTTCATGCAAAAAAGACAACTTGCTTTTTAAGCCTGTAAGGTTCAAAAGTGCTCTGGATAACTATATTAGTACAATGGATTGCGTGATTATTATGTTTAGATTGCCTGGTACTACAGTTAAACAGATTGGTGTTAAATATGGGTGTTCCATGACTACATTTCACCGTGGAAAAAAGTAGGCAAATTCTGTTTTGGTGTTATTGCAAGTTACAGAATGGTTTTAGGCAACTCCTTGATTGTTCAAAAAATATGGGTGTTCCATGACTACATTTCACCATTGAAAGGTAGGCAAATTCTGTTTGGTGTTGTTGCAAGTTACAGAATGGTTTCAGGCAACTCCTTGAATGTTCAAAAAATTACATATGACTTCTGGAAAAAGGGCGATGATGAAAATATTATTCATGTAAAAATAATGCTGGCAAACTTCAGTTTGTACGCGAGCAAAAAGAAAAAGTGAGTAAAAAAACATGAATGGAAAATAACTGACCTAAGCTAACTTCAATACGGCTTCCCATGGAGCCTTGTTGCGCTTGGTGTTAACCCACGTGTTTGTCAACTGCTTCCTGATATTTTGAACATCCTCTGCTGTAAATCTTGGAACGTTCCTTCCTTCCCACCCATTTGCAATTGAGAGAGCAAAAATGCCGCAGTCATATCTATAGAGAATGTTTCAGGTCAGTTATGAAACAAGTATGAATTTGTTAGGAATTTGTTTTGCAGTTTGTCTGGGAATTGATGCTTACTTGTTAGTTTGTTTTGGCACATCAATGTTTCTTAGTGTGAAGTCATCTAATGAGATGTGAGACTTCGGATAGTGCTCTTCCCACAGATCCCGAAAACTAGCAACCATAGTCCTTGCGCAGACATCTAGAGTCTTGTCCTGAAGTGTCCTCCATGAATCAAGCACCTCGAACCTTCGATCCCTTATATTCACGTTGAAGACCCAATAATGGTTGCCTGAAACCTTCTTTGACTTGTCGATATTCTCTAACACAATAAACATTATCTGTGGGAAAAGTGCAGAAAACAAAAGCTGAGGGTAAGAACATAGTCTGTAGGCAACTTGAAGAGATATGGAAAGCATGTAAAAGTTTTCTCATGCTATGAGGAAAAGCTAATTGTGATTCTGCACTCTGGCAACTTTCATGCATGTCCTGAAAACTACTACTCTGCTATTCACATGCGGGTGGAAAAAAAGGAATGGGAGAAGAGTACTGTAGTGGAAATTCGAGAAACATGGACTTACCATGTCTTTCCGGTCCAGGTGATTTGATTTCTTGAATCGGAAATAATCTCTTGGCTGTTGATATCATTGGAGAGGAAAGTCATCTGCAGCATCCTTGTCTATAACACAAAAAGGGACAAGGTGGTTAGAAATGACCAAGTAGGAACCAAGTACAAAAAAATGCAGAACCTGAAGTAATAATGACTCCTAGTCCTTTTTCTTACCGAGAACCTCAGGGGCATGACAACCTCCTTGGAGTCTGTAGGCAAATTCATCATTATGGACAGTATGCCAATTTCCATTACATGTGTCAAGACATATCCTTCTTTTTTCATAGAGTTTGCAAGCTCCCTCACCGACACATCATATCCATTGTAGTCAATTACCTTCGGGCTGCAATAAAAAACGAGAAACCGAAAAGGACAACCATGAGAAAAAAGTAACCAAGTTGCCTGCTGCTGTACTTTTGATTGCCTAGAAATAGATCCTGTTTTGCCTAAGGAACATAAACTTGGGGTTGTAACAATTTGCAATGAATTCTTTCTACCTAAAAGTGCATGTCTAGTTAGCACCCAAGTTGCCTGCTGCTGTACTTTTGATTGCCTATAAATAGATCCTGTTTTGCCTAAGGAACATAAACTTGGGGTTGTGACAATTTGCAATGAATTCTTTCTACCTAAAAAGTGCATGTCTAGTTAGCATATATAAGGCATGGGAAAAATGTGTTAATGCCTGAAATTGCATTCTGGTTAGCATGTATTCTTAATGGGGTGATTTTTTGCCTGCTTGTTTTACTTCTGTTTGCCTATGAATTCAGCCTGAATTGCCTGAATGGTGCAT